GCAATGTCCTGAATTTGCACCAATTGCCATCAATATGTACCGAGCTCCAAGTCGCTTGTTTGTCTGTGGAACTGAAATACCATCGGCAGAAGGCACTACCCAGGGTGACAATCTGGCAATGCCCCTATTTGCACTCGCAACACTTCCAATTTTACAGAAACTTAAAGAGCTAAGGAAAGTTATGCAAGTCTGGCTGGCCGACGACGCGTCATCTGTTGGAACACTGATACATCTCAAAACCTGGTGGGATATGATAGTGGCAGAGGGAATTAAATATGGATATCATGTCAACCCCAGCAAATCATGTTTGATAATAAAACATCCATCGAGCATGGAGAGGGCTATGGAAATATTTGGAGAAAGCGGGATCGAGATAAAAATAACTGGTCAGAGACATCTTGGAGCGGTTATTGGGTCACAGGAATATAAACGACTTTACATCAATAATTTAGTTGAAGAATGGATCAAAAATCAAAATGATCAACAAATTATCTGATTTTGGTCAATCCCAGCCACAAGCAGCATATGCAGCATTCACTCATGGAGTTAGGCACAAAATGACATACTTCATGAGAACAATTGAAGGACTAGATCAATACTTGCAACCTCTTGACATGCTTATCGATGAGAAACTCATACCGGCTTTATTTGGATGCCCTATTACACCATTAGAGAGAAGAACGGTTGCGCTACCCGTACGATGTGGGGGACTAGGCATACCAGTTTTATCAAAGTTGGCATCAGAGGAGTATAAAACATCCATGGAAGTGACTAAGTCCTTAGTAAAAGCCATGGCCGGAATTGAAACGGATATAGATCATGATTCCGAGTCGCTGAAAGAAATTCTAAAAGTGAGGGCAGAAAAGCATGAATTAGAATACACGTTAATCTGCAATGAAAGCAGTGATAGATCTACACGTGCAATTAATCAGGCAAGAGAAAAAGGAAGCTCAAGTTGGTTGACTGTCCTACCTCTTAAGTCTTATGGGTTCACATTGAACAAAGGGGAATTCAGGGATAGTCTACTTCTTCGATATAACAAAGACCTTCCACGATTACCTCAATCCTGTGTTTGTGGGGCCAAAATGGACATCAACCATGCTCTAAACTGTCCAAGAGGAGGCTACATCATCATCCGCCACAACTCAGTTAGGGATTTCATAGCCAAACAACTATCAACTGTTTGCAAAGACGTAGAATGTGAGCCCCACCTACAGACTTTAGACGGGGAGACTTTCTCAACAAGTACCACACTAACAGGAGACAATGCCCACCCTGACGTCCGTGCCAGGGGATTCTATCGTCCGGGACAGAACTCCTATTTCGACATAAAGTTTCTCAATCCCAATTCTGAGTCTTATCTCTCATCATCAACAGAAAAAATATACGAGAGAGCTGAGACTCAGAAGCGGAGGTTATACAACGAGAGAATTCTGAATGTAGAACATGGGAGTTTCTGTCCTCTGGTGTACTCTGTCACGGGTGGCAGCGGGCCAGAAGCGAGAACATTCTGTAGATTATTGTGTGAGAAAATAGCATATAAAACTCAACAAAATTATTCAGATGTTGTAAATTTTTTAAGATGTAAACTTTCATTTATTATCAGGAAGCTGGTTCTCCTGTGTATAAGAGGAACCAGATCTTCTGTCAATTCAGTTGACAAAAGTTGTGAAAGCGACTTTGAGTTCGCATGCTTTGTATCAAAGCTTAGCTAATTATGAGTCCTATGGACTCAATTAATTGATGATTCAAATCTGGTCGATATACATTGTTGTAAATTATATTGTTATATATTATTCTATTTGTTTACCAAAAAAAAAATATATATATCTATATCTATATAGATATATATATAGGTCAAATTGTACAGAGTCATGTGACCTGGATGTGTAAGAGACATGCTGTTCTGTTAAGTAAGCACACTTTGCAATTAAAATCGCAAGATTTAATTCTCCAAAGCAAAAATGTTTTCAATAATGTTGGTTTAAATAGGTAGTTCAACTAAAATCGCATTGTACATATTGTGACAGTAGGTGTAACATTGTCTATTTAATTACGAAAATCATAATATAAGTATCTTTAAAAGTACAATACTATAATTTAAGATATTGTGCTTTAAGTTTAGGCGGAAGATAAAATAAGATAACTCAATCTTATCTCTTTATGCAATGAATCACCTACTACCTACTACCTACTACCTATAGGTACACCTACTGTAGGTATACTAGGTACACCTACTGTAGGTATACTAGGTACACCTACAGTAGGTATACTAGGTACACCTACTGTAGGTATACTAGGTACACCTACTGTAGGTATACTAGGTACACCTACTGTAGGTATACTAGGTACACCTACTGTAGGTATACTAGGTACACCTACTGTAGGTATACTAGGTACACCTACTGTAGGTATACTAGGTACACCTACTGTAGGTATACTAGGTACACCTACACCTACTGGTATATTGACTACGATATCAGGCCTTATTTGGGCAGATATAAAAGTATATGCCGGCCGAAAATTCGAACGAACTTCAATTTTGGCGCTGATCCCTCCAACGCCTACATAATGATTTAATGTCGTAATGCGTATAACTTAATGTCCGCCCAAACAAAGTCAGATAATGTATATGACAAAAGAACACATCACCAGCATGTAGCCGAATAAAACTATATTTAATTGAGAGTAAAAAGTTGCTATACTACTAGTAGCTAAGTTATTATTGTGTACCCAGTATAGAGGTTACAGAGACTAGAAAGCTAGTACCGCTTATATCCTTATTATGGGACCCCGCAGATTTAGTCCTCGTTTTTAATTATTAAATTGCCCATGTAATGGCCGCTTAATTAATAAGCAATATACAGTCGAACCTCTATATACCGTGCCTCTCTATACCGGGTACCTCCATAAATCGGGCCTCTTTTTTAGCAAGTTTCTTTTTGCAAGAAATGTGATTTCTTACATAACAGTTAAAATCACATTTGATAGTGATATAAGTACATGTCTAGCTGAATTTCATCGTAATACAAGAGTTACAATACTTATACCGTGCACTTTCCATTTCCCCGGGAGGCCCGTTACAGAGAGGTACAGATAGAGAGGTTACAGAAACTAGAAATGTACCCGGTATAGAGAGGTTACAGAGACTAGAAATGTACTCGGTATAGAGAGGTTACAGAGACTAGAAATGTACTCGGTATAGAGAGGTTACAGAGACTAGAAATGTACTCGGTATAGAGAGGTTACAGAGACTAGAAATGTACTCGGTATAGAGAGGTTACAGAGACTAGAAATGTACTCGGTATAGAGAGGTTACAGAGACTAGAAATGTACTTGGTATAGAGAGGTTACAGAGACTAGAAATGTACTCGGTATAGAGAGGTTACAGAGACTAGAAATGTACTCGGTATAGAGAGGTTACAGAGACTAGAAATGTACTCGGTATAGAGAGGTTACAGAGACTAGAAATGTACTCGGTATAGAGAGGTTACAGAGACTAGAAAGGTACTCGGTATAGAGGTTACAGAGACTAGAAATGTACTCGGTATAGAGAGGTTACAGAGACTAGAAATGTACTCGGTATAGAGAGGTTACAGAGACTAGAAATGTACCCGGTATAGAGAGGTTACAGAGTCTAGAAATGTACTCGGTATATATAGGTTACAGAGACTAGAAATGTACTCGGTATAGAGAGGTTACAGAGACTAGAAATGTACTCGGTATAGAGAGGTTACAGAGACTAGAAATGTACCCGGTATAGAGAGGTTACAGAGTCTAGAAATGTACTCGGTATATATAGGTTACAGAGACTAGAAATGTACTCGGTATAGAGAGGTTACAGAGACTAGAAAGGTACTCGGTATAGAGAGGTTACAGAGACTAGAAATGTACTCGGTATAGAGGTTACAGAGACTAGAAATGTACTCGGTATAGAGAGGTTACAGAGTCTAGAAATGTACTCGGTATATATAGGTTACAGAGACTAGAAATGTACTCGGTATAGAGAGGTTACAGAGACTAGAAAGGTACTCGGTATAGAGAGGTTACAGAGACTAGAAATGTACTCGGTATAGAGGTTACAGAGACTAGAAATGTACTCGGTATAGAGAGGTTACAGAGACTAGAAATGTACCCGGTATAGAGAGGTTACAGAGACTAGAAAGGTACGAGTCGCATAATTAATTAGATGGTTAAAGCTTCAGACCACAACAATATCCCATGCAATGTGCTGTACATTGATGGTAGTTTTCAGTACACACCATCACCAGTCACAGACTAATTTATCCAGTCTAATTTTATACATTTACATAAATGCACCAAAATAACTGATTTTAATGGAAAAACAGGCAAAAATGTGAGAAATTTTAATGAAAACCAAGCATAAATTTGACAACTCAAGAGAGGGCATTCACAAACGGCAGCTGAGTCAGATTCAAAGCTTTAAAGCAGGGAGAAGTGCACACTCAACCCCTGCCCTGCTACTGGAGTACAGGGAGAACATTCTCCAAGTCATAATCACACGTGCAATGAAAAAACGAAGTGTTACAAAATTATACCACAGCCACGAAAAGCTGGCCTTCGAGTTTTTAGTGTAACTCTCACAATTTTTAGCTTTTCGTGACTGTACTATATAATAGCCCACACTAACTCACTCATTTGCACTGAAGAAGAGGCCGTCCAGTTTTGGAGGGTGTATTGTGATACCGGGGGGAGTTGAAGTGAGGCATTTCGTGGTGGAACACCCTGGTTACACTGTGAAACAGTTCACAATACAGTAAAACCACGATATAATTATAATGCGCCCCGATTTACCGCGGATGTTTCCTTTCCTCAAACTCCGCGGTTAATCAGGGTTTATTGTATTATCACCCTCTAATGAACACTTTAATTACACGTGATTCTAGTGTCTTCACATTCAACACACTGTTGTTAACCAATCTTCTCCCCCCCCCCCCCCCTATCACAATATGTCCAAATTAAAACTTAATAAAACTTACTTCTCATAAGCCCGGTGAATAACTCCTGATTTCTTGGTCTGGTCAGGAGTACGTTTCCCGTCCAGAGTCTCATGTCCCATAGTACTGTGGGTAGTGTCTTGTGGGTCCACTTGTACGTAACCATTGTTCATCAGTTCCTGTTCCTGAGAGGGACTAACAGTTACTTTATTTAATACAAGTTACTGTTCCTGAGAGGGATTAACAGTTACTTTATTTAATACAAGTTACTGTGACAACTTACTTAAGAGCTACTAGTTAGTTACTTAAGAGTTAGACCTTTAGTAGATCTAGTAGTAATAGTAGGTTACCGGTACCCCCCCCCCCAGTAGTAGTTAGAACTCACTCGGATAGTAGGTTACCGGTACCCCCCCCCCCCCCCCAGTAGTAGTTAGAACTCACTCGGTACCCCCCCCCCCCCCCCCAGTAGTAGTTAGAACTCACTCGGATAGTAGGTTACCGGTACCCCCCCCCCCCCCCCCAGTAGTGTTAGAACTCACTCGTACCCCCCCCCCAGTAGTAGTTAGAACTCACTCGGTACCCCCCCCCCCCCCCAGTAGTAGTTAGAACTCACTCGGATAGTAGGTTACCGGTACCCCCCCCCCCCCCCAGTAGTAGTTAGAACTCACTCGGTACCCCCCCCCCCCCCCCCAGTAGTAGTTAGAACTCACTCGGATAGTAGGTTACCGGTACCCCCCCCCCAGTAGTAGTTAGAACTCACTCGTACCCCCCCCCCCCCCCAGTAGTAGTTAGAACTCACTCGGATAGTAGGTTACCGTACCCCCCCCCCCCCAGTAGTAGTTAGAACTCACTCGGTACCCCCCCCCCCCCAGTAGTAGTTAGAACTCACTCGGTACCACCCCCCCCCCCCCCCCCCCAGTAGTAGTTAGAACTCACTCGGATAGTAGGTTACCGGTACCCCCCCCCAGTAGTAGTTAGAACTCACTCGGTACCCCCCCCCCCCCAGTAGTAGTAAGAACTCACTCGGTACCCCCCCCCCCCCCCCAATAGTTGTTAGAACTCACTCGGATCTTCTTCTTCCTCTCCTCCAACTTCTTCAGTTTATTCTGCAGTTCTCTAACGTGCTTCTGAGACTTTAGGTTCCTGGATTCGTTATCAGATAATTATACATTTATCAGATAATAGTACATTTATCAGATAATTATACATTTATCAGATAATTATACATTTATCAGATAATAATACATTTATCAGATAATAGTACATTCATTATTATAACAAGGTGGAGGATAAAATGTTTTGATGAAGCAAATCCGAAAAAATGTTTAATCATCGAAGAGTTATTATATATTAAATTGAAACACAATGTCAAAGACAAATAAAACTCATATGAACAGAACATGCTACTTGTATTACTATTGTGTAGTTGGGGGGATTAAGGTGGGGACTGGGGGAGGGGGGGGGGGGGCGGGGGGGTTAAGGGGGGATTAAACTTTCAAAAAGATTTTGAGCTTGTCGCCATTTGATGCACAAACAAGTAACTTCAAGAAAATCTTACAAAATACCATTTCGAGCGGGAGCGCGAGCGACACATTATAACTCTACGTTTAAATCTAAGAATCTCGGTGTTAAATTTGAGGCAGGACAATAGCGATGAAAACACCAACTGACGTGAACGACCAGAAGTTGCTACAAACAATGATTGTGTAAGATTGTGTAAGATTGTGTAAGATTGTGTAAGATTGTGTAAGATTGTGTAAGATTGTGTAAGATTGTGTAAGATTGTGTAAGATTGTGTAAGATTGTGTACGATTTTCAGAAAGTTATACTCACTTCTGGTTGTACTGTTCTCTGGTAGCGAGGTCTGGTATTTGTGAGTCAGAAACTGTCTTGCTAACTTCCAGATACTTCTTCGTCAACTCTGAAGGAGACGGTAGTATAGTAGTACAGTAGAAATGAGGGAATGTGTTAACTGTATGGCATTTTTAATCAGCTCAGAAATTACTCCTTCTTTCTGAGAATCCATCCCCCCCCCCCCCCCATCATTACTCCTTCATCAATGTTGTCAAAGCTATTTTATTCGAAATTTTAGACCTGGAGGTCTCAAATTGCTGGGCAGCGACATTGTCCTTAGAAATCTATTCTTCGTTTCCATCCTGCTGTTTTCTTAATCATTCAATGACGAAAAAAAATCAGTTCGAATGCACAATTGGTATACGTTAAGAAAGAGACCTACAAAATTAGGGAAATCAGTTCCGTGTTATTCTAAATTCTATTGAATAAAGCAAACCGCAATCCCTCCTACTGTACTACTATACTACTGTCGAGAAGCAAATCATTTGAAGACAACTATAACCGGTTTCCTATTGCTAATGATTGAGGAGCACTACCCTACTAATGGCAAATCACTACACTGGCTGTGATAACCAGTCTTCTCAGTCTTGTTAATTGCATGATAATAAATTAATGTAATATGCAAAATGAGATGTAATTATCCTTGCATATTATATAATCAGTAAAAATGATAAGTAATGATAAGTAATGATAAGTAATGATACTGTTTACAAGAGCTCATTATCCGTCTTATCATGTCTAGATTGTCTAGTTAAAGGACTTATACACTAAAACAGGGTTTAAAGGTTTAATGTCGTCTCGCCCAAATGACCATCTTGAGCATCATTTCCAAAATCAACAATTTTTTTGCAATTGAGCATTTCCTGGTTTGAAATAATGGCAAAAACACAGAAATAGTTCCATTTGGGCTGGATAACACTAAACTCTATTTTGGTGTATACTGTATAGGTCCTTAAGTTGCAGTTATATATCAGGACGTTTATTTAAAGCCAGTACAGCAATTTGGATGAAAGAAGGAAAAGCGGCACTATCCAAGGATTCCGACAGAGTTCCATAGAATTCAACTGAAGCATACTCCACCGTAATATGCATACTCCGCCGTAATATGCTTCCGTGGAATTCAACTGAAGCATACTCCACCGTAATATGCATACTCCATCCGAATATGCTTCGGTGGAATTCTGCGGAGCTATGAGCTTAGAGCTGGTTAGAATGTGCTGAAAAAGAAAGGTGCCGTTCAACGTGAGTAGTAGTCAAGGTGAGACATCTCAACAATCGTGTGGACGGTTGACTGACAGAACAAAGAAAGATAAGAGGGAAATGTGTGGTGAGTAGTCCGATGAGTAGAGACTACTAAATACAGGAACAAAGAAAGATAAGAGGGAATTGTGTGTGAGTAGTCCGTATGAGTAGAGACTAACTATTACAGGAACAAAGAAAGATAAGAGGGGAAATTGTGGTGTTGAGTAGTCCGATGAGTAGAGACTACTAATACAGGAACAAAGAAAGATAAGAGGGAAATGTGTGGTGAGTAGTCCGATGAGTAGAGACTACTAATACAGGAACAAAGAAAGATAAGAGGGAAATGTGTGGTGAGTAGTCCGATGAGTAGAGACTACTATATACAGGAGAGTATATAGTAGAGACTACATGTTGTTACTCCCACTACACACCTACTTCAACTCAGCGGTAAAATACTGGGATCATTCTAACAAATGGTAAAGAAATTACATTATCGTATTATATATATCATCATGTGGACCGCATAAAATGAACAGTGCATAACATAACCGTTTCGATGGTCAAATATACTAATGTACACTAATATATACAGGGGGTGGGCCAAAAGTCAGTACCATTCGTTGGGTCTTATACCACCGCCATGTTTTATATTTGAGAGTTGTTGCTTTGCAGATGGCATACTGTACCTACTTGTTTTGAAGATTCCGTCACACAAAATTGAAAATTCGATTTTTCGGGGCCACACCCGAATCAAGATTGAATTGTTATACTCGTGTTTGTGAACAAGTTAGAGACTCCGTTGTAACATATTGCAATAGGTAACTTCAACTTTGAAATCTCATAATTACTATTAAATTGAGTTTGATTTTTTTCAAAAATGTGCCAAAATCATTCATGAAATCCCCGGCTGTGCCCCCGGTAAATGCATGGTTTTTGGCCGGGCCGGGGGTAAATTTATTGGCCGGGGCCGGGGTTTACCCCCGGCGAATTGCCAAATTTTGGCCGGGGCCGGGAAGGGCCGGGGGTTTATGATTTGGCCCGGGGCCGAGGCAGGGGCCGGACCCCGGTCGACCACTGGAACCTTCATTTGAAAAAAATGAACACGAATATTTTTCGATTTGACAAATTCCTCGGACCAATGGTCAACGTATGGTACTGACTTTGGCCCCCCCCCCCCCCCCCCCTGTATGTATGATATATACTAATAAACATATTTAAAATATATAGTAATATATGTAGGATATATGCTAATATACGTAGGATATATGCTAATATGAGTAGAATATATGCTAATATATGTAGGATAATGCAGTATAGAGACTAAGTTGCTCTCTCAGCTTAAGCACAAAGAAATGTAACAAATAGGTAAATGTACTTTTAAGGTTACTGAGAATTCTAGAGTACAGGCTCATAGACATAATCAACAATGATTAATGAATATTGTGTGGATGAGAAAGGTTAATTATAGTATAAATATATACAGTATAATTAATTAATACCTGTGTACACGCTGCTACTAGAGTACCTGAGTTGTTGCGCTGTGCCACTTCAATCTCCTGGTTACCTGGTTACCTGTTAGCTGTTAGCTGGTTAGCTGGTTAGCTGGTTACCTGGTTACCTGGTTGACTGGTTACCTGGTTACCTGGTTACCTGGTTACCTGGTTACTTGGTTACCTGGTTACCTGGTTACCTGGTTACATGGCTACTACAGTACCTGTGTTGTTGCGCTGTGTCACTTCAATCTCCGACTTAACTTTGATTAACTCTCTTTCCACATCAACCACAGAGGTTAACTGAAGAAATACAGTTCTAGTCAGATTATTTTAATGAAGTCGTCACCATGGTGATACATGATCGTTACCATGGTGATACCAGTGAAAGCAGTATTAATGACATTCTCACTTTTCAGAACTAAGTGCCTAATACAATTAAGATATAACATCTAAACAGTTTTATTCCTGTTCCATATGATCTAGGATAGTCAGGGGCTACAAAACCTGACCAAGTTTAGCTCAATCCAGTACTGCGCGTTTGAGATATGAGGTTAAATTATACCAAAAATAGGGGTTTTCTGGTGTGACATCATTGTAAATTTTTGGAGTATATCCTCAATATCTCACAAACTATCCATTTGTGGTCTTTTCTGAGGTTACACTATCTGTTTCCTCTGGCAATTCGGTTCAGAGTCAATTAAGTTTGAAACAAAATCTCAGTATATGTGGAAGGACTGAGGATATCAAGTTTGTAAACGCGCGCGCCGCGCGCGCGCGCGCACACACACATATAATGACCTCATATCTTCCACATTTAATGATTTTTATAGAAATTCTTTCACCATCCTGTAGCACTCATGTGCTAGTAGATAGCAATCAAATCATGTCCTTTAAAAGCTTTAGATAGAGAACTGAGGGAGAAAATTCATGTTTGTAAACGCGCGCGCGCGCGCGCGCTGCATGGCCCACTGCCCAGACTAGTATCAATGGACGGGAGGATTAAAGTACTTCATACACACCAGCATGCGCATTGATGGCTTAAAAATGAAGCTAAGACATACTCCTATCAGATCCACCATAAGTTAGATACCATAATAATCATTAAATGTGTCTAAAATGAGGAAGCTTTGACAGTTGGCGAGTGGTTTTGGCAAATTTTGGTATAAATGGGCCCTGAATCATATTTTTCTCATTAAAATCACATATATCACGAATATTTATGTGTGTTGGGTGTATCCTCAGTGGTATCAACCATTTCAATCATCTAGAGCAGCTTCCTGATTTCTTTATCTCATGAAAATGGGGCAAAAAAAGCTCATAAATAGTCCAAAATCGGTCATTTTCGCCGCTTTAATTAACCTCATTCCTGGCACCCAGAACACTTTGGGTACTCAAAACATGATTTTTTCGATACCTCAGACCCCTAACTAGCACATGGAGCCAGAAAGAACAGCATGTAGGGACTTCTAAATTTTCATGGTTGAGAACCCAATGTCACACTATTCGTTCATTAATCCTGCTTTCACTGATACATGATCGTCACCATGGTGATACATGATCGTCACCATGACCAGTACATACTGTTGCATATCTCAGCCATGCTTTTTGAGATATTTACATTTTAAGTACTGCAAATAACAATAATACAGGAACCTGGCTAAAATATCTTTAGCTAAGAGTATTAGAGTAACCTCTCTGAATATGCTGGAGAATAGTCCATCAACATCCACATTCTCATCATCTGAGTCAACAGTGTAGTTGTCCGGGTCATTTACTGGTGCTGCCATGGTTATTTGAGAAGCTTCCACAGGTTCCAACCTCGTGTTTCTTAGCAATGGTCTGGAAGAATGGTTTAGTTAGTCAGCTGAAAGTTAATAGATTGGGTCGCGGTAACTTACCGGATAAGTGTAGTGTACCCCCTGGATAAGTGTAGTGTAACCCCCGGATAAATGTAGTGTACCCCCATATAAGTGTAGTGTACCCCCCGGATAAGAATAGTGTACCCCCCAGATAAGTGTAGTGTAACCCCCGGATAAATGTAGGTGTACCCCCATATAAGTGTAGTGTACCCCCCGGATATGAATTAGTGTACCCCCCAGATAAGTGTAGTGTACCCCAGAAAGTGTAGTGTACCCCCGGATAAGTGTAGTGTACCCCCCCAGATAAGTGTAGTTGTACCCCCCCAGATAAGTGTAGTGTACCCCCTGGATAAGTGTAGTGTACCCCTGGATAAGTGTAATGTACCCCCTGGGATAAGTGTAGTGTACCCCCGGATAAGTGTGGTGTACCCCGGATAAGTGTAGTGTAACCCCCCGGATAAGTGTAGTGTACCCCCGGATAAGTGTAGTGTACCCCCCGGATAAATGTAGTGTACCCCCCAGATAAGTGTAATGTACCCCCTGGATAAGTGTAGTGTACCCCTGGATAAGTGTAGTGTACCCCCAGATAAGTGTAGTGTAACCCCCGGATAAATGTAGTGTACCCCCCATATAAGTTAGTGTACCCCCGATAAGTAAGAGTGTACCCCCCCCCCCCAGATAAGTGTAATGTACCCCCTGGATAAGTGTAGTTTACCCTGGATAAGTGTAATGTACCCCCTGGATAAGTGAGTGTACCCCGGATAAGTGAGTGTAACCCCCGGATAAGTGTAGTGTTCCCCCGATAAGTGTAGTGTACCCCCGGATAAGTGTAGATGTACCCCCGGATAAGTGTAGTGTACCCCCGATAAGTGGTAGTGTACCCCCGATAAGTGTAGTGTACCCCCGGATAAGTGTAGTGTACCCCGATAAGTGTAGTGTACCCCCCGGATAAGGTAGTGTACCACCCTTATAAGTGTAAGTGTACCCCCCCCCCCGATAAGAATAGTGTTACCCCCAGATAAGTGTAAATGTACCCCCGGATAGTGTAGTGTACCCCCGGATAAGTGTAGTGGTACCCCCCCCGGATAAGTGTAGTGTACCCCCGGATAAGTGTAGTGGTACCCCCGATAAGTGTAGTGTATACCCCCGATAAGTGTAGTGTACCCCCGGATAAGTGTAGTGTACCCCCCAGATAAGTGTAGTGTACCCCCCCAGATAAGTGGTAGTGTACCCCCTGGATAAGTGTAGTGTACCCCCGGATAAGTGTAGTGTACCCCCGGATAAGTGTAGTGTACCCCCCCAGATAAGTGTATGTACCCCCCCAGATAAGTGTTAGTGTACCCCCCATATAAGTGTAGTGTACCCCCGGATAAGTGTAGTGTTCCCCCGGATAAGTGTAGTGTACCCCCCATATAAGTGTAGTGTACCCCCCGGATAAGAATAGTGAACCCCCCCCCAGATAAGTGTAATGTACCCCCTGGATAAGTGTAATGTACCCCTGGATAAGTGTAATGTACCCCCTGGATAAGTGTAGTGTACCCCCGGATAAGTGTAGTGTACCCCCCGGATAAGTGTAGTGTACCCCCGGAAAAGTGTAGTGTACCCCCGGGTAAGTGTAGTGTACCCCCGGATAAGTGTAGTGTACCCCCGGATAAGTGTATTGTACCCCCCGGATAAGTGTGAGTGTACCCCCCCCCCCCCCCCCCCCCCCCCCCGGATAAGGTGGAATGTACCCCTGGATAAGTGTAGTGTACCCCTGGATAAGTGTAGTGTACCCCCGGATAAGTGTGGTGTACCCCCGGATAAGTGTAGTGTACCCCCGGATAAGTGTAGTGTACCCCCGGATAAGTGTAGTGTACCCCTGGATAAGTGTAGTGTACCCCCAGATAAGTGTAGTGTACCCCCGGATAAGTGTAGTGTACCCCCTTTCAGCTGAAGATTATGCCGATTGAAGACCGCTTTGACTTCTTGGATCTCATCTTCTTCTTTAAAATTGGGAAGCAACATATACCTGTCACTTTACCCTCATATTTGCAACCATTTCAAGGCCACTCAAGGCTCAGAAATAGTCACATGGACTCTCTATGTTTTGTAAGCTCTATCTCCACCTCGAGCAAGCTCCAACGCTTTTTGCCAAGAATTTCTTCTATAGGACCCACACTAAGTGGAATCACATTCCTCTAGATATCCGTGAGATAGAGAGTAATCACTGATTTTAAAAGTAAACTTTCCACTTACATGTGGGGGAAATTATCCCGGTGGATTCGGACTCTGACTTGACTTTCAATAGAAACAAATCCGTAAATAGTTTATTCAAGATTATCTATTCTTGCTGTCTGCATTCACATATTCTCAATTTCATCTCACAGCACAATATTTTATGAATTGATTGAATGGGTGTGTGATTTTGTTTAAAGTAACTTATTACAATTTTATAAGGGCCCATGCTTGTGCAGGAGCTGCATTTGCACTCAATATCTGTGTTTGGTGACCCTCAGGGCCTTTGGTTACATACATTTTGTCCGAGACAATTCAACTTTGACAATCCATGCTTAGAGACAATATTATATTTAACTAATTCATTGTGTAAACTTGTATGTAATTGACTGATTTGAAAGATTTCAATGAAAAAAAAGTGTAGTGTACCCCCCCAGATAAGTGTAGTGTACCCCCCCAGATAAGTGTAGTGTACCCCCTGGATAAGTGTAGTGTACCCCTGGATAAGTGTAATGTACCCCCTGGAGTAAGTGTAGTGTACCCCCGATAAGGGGTGGTGTACCCCCGGATAAGTGTAGTGTACCCCTGGATAAGTGTAGTGTACCCCGGATAAGTGTAGTGTACCCCCCGGATAAATGTAGTGTACCCCCCAGATAAGTGTAATGTGACCCCCTGGATAAGTGTAGTGTACCCCCGATAAGTGTAGTGTAACCCCCGATATATGTAGTGTACCCCCATATAAGTGTAGTGTACCCCCCGGATAGAATAGTGTACCCCCCCCCCCCAGATAGTGTAGATGTACCCCCTGGATAAGTGTAGTGTACCCCTGGATAAGTGTAATGTACCCCCGGATAAGTGTAGTGTACCCCCGATAAGTGTAGTGTACGCCCCGGATAAGTGTAGTGTTCCCCGGATAAGTGTAGTGTTACCCCCGGATAAGTGTAATGTACCCCCGGATAAGTGTAGTGTACCCCCGGATAAGTGTAGTGTACCCCGGATAAGTGTAGTGTACCCCGGATAGAGTGTAGTGTACCCCCGATAAGGTGTAGTGTACCCCCCGATAAGTGTAGTGGTACCCCCCATATAAGTGTAGTGTACCCCCCCCCCCCGGATAAGAAATAGTGTACCCCCAGATAAGTGTAATGTACCCCCGATAATGTAGTGTACCCCCGGGATAAGTGGTAGTGTACCCCCCCGGAGAAGTGTAGTGTACCCCCGGATAAGTGTAGTGTACCCCCCGGATAAGTGTAGTGTACCCCCGATAAGTGTAGTGTACCCCCGGATAATGTAGTGTACCCCCCCCAGATAAGTGTAGTGTACCCCCCCCCCCCCCAGATAAGTGAGGACCCCCCGAAAGTGATTAACCCCCGGAAAGTGTATTACCCCCGAAATTTTAGTGGGCCCCCGGATAAGTTTTTATGAACCCCCGGAAAAGAGGACCCCCCAAAATGTATGACCCCCCCCATAAAATAGTTAACCCCCCCGATAAGGAAAAACCCCCATAAGGGGTACCCCCGGATAAGTGTAGGGGTCCCCCGGAAATGAGGGGACCCCCATAATTTTTGGACCCCCCCCCCCAATTTAAAACCCCCGGGAAAAAGACCCCGGAAATGTATTTACCCCCGATAAAGGTATTACCCCCCCAGATAATTTTTACCCCCAAATAAATTTCCCCCCGGAAAAGGATGACCCCCGAAAGTGTAGTGTCCCCGGGGGAAAGTGGGTTACCCCCATAAAAAGGACCCCCCCCAAAAAATGTGTTACCCCCGGAAAATTTTTACCCCCGGAAATGTGGTACCCCCTGGAAAAGTTGTGTTTTTTTTTCCCCGGAAAAGGGTATTTCCCCCGGAAAGTTATTTACCCCCATAGGGGATTACCCCGAAAGTTTTCCCCCGGGATTAAAGGGGGAAATGGTAAAAATTGTGTAAAAGTGTTGAGAAAAAGAAAGGGTAAAGGAAAGGTTTTGTACCCCAAAGTGGTGTCCCCCGGATTGTTATTACCCCCCGGAAAAATTTTGTGTACCCCCATTGATGTACCCCCAGAAAGTTAGTTACCCCCGATAATGTGTTACCCCTGTAATTATTACCCCCATAATTATTTCCCCCAAATTAGTGTACCCCTGGATAAGTGTAGTGTAACCCCCGGATAAGTGTAGTGTACCCCCGATAAGTGTAGTGTACCCCCGGATAAGTATAGTGTCCCCCCGGATAAGTGTAGTGTTCCCCCGGATAAGTGTAGTGTTCCCCCGGATAAGTGTAGTGTACCCCCGGATAAGTGTAGTGTACCCCCCCAGATAAGTGTAGTGTACCCCCGGATAAGTGTAGTGTACCCCCGGATAAGTGTAGTGTAACCCCCGGATAAGTGTAGTGTACCCCCGGATAAGTGTAGTGTACCCCCGGATAAGTGTAGTGTACCCCCGGATAAGTGTAGTGTTCCCCCGGATAAGTGTAGTGTACCCCCGGATAAGTGTAGTGTACCCCCTGGATAAGTGTAGTGTACCCCCTGGATAAGTGTAATGTACCCCCTGGATAAGTGTAGTGTAACCCCCGGATAAGTGTAGTGTACCCCTGGATAAGTGTAGTGTAACCCCTGGATAAGTGTAATGTACCCCCTGGATAAGTGTAGTGTACCCCCGGATAAGTGTAGTGTACCCCCCCGGATAAGTGTAGTGTTCCCCCGGATAAGTGTAGTTTACCCCTGGATAAGTGTAGTGTAACCCCCGGATAAGTGTAGTGTACCCCTGGATAAGTGTAGTGTAACCCCTGGATTAGTGTAGTGTAACCCCCGGATAAGTGTAGTGTACCCCCGGATAAGTGTAGTGTACCACCGGATAAGTGTAGTGTACCCCCCGGATAAGTGTAGTGTTCCCCCCGGATAAGTGTAGTGTACCCCCGGATAAGTGTAGTGTACCCCCGGATAAGTGTAGTGTTCCCCCGATAAGTGTAGTGTACCCCTGGATAAGTGTAGTGTAACCCCCGGATAAGTGTAGTGTACCCCTGGATAAGTGTAGTGTAACCCCTGGATAAGTGTAATGTACCCCCTGGATAAGTGTAGTGTACCCCCTGGATAAGTGTAATGTACCCCTGGATAAGTGTAGTGTACCCCCGGATAAGTGTAGTGTACCCCCGGATAAGTGTAGTGTACCCCCATATAAGTGTAGTGTAACCCCCGGATAAGAGTAGTGTACCTCCGGATAAGTGTAGTGTACCCCCGGATAAGTGTAGTGTACCCCCGGATAAGTGTAGTGTACCCCTGGATAAGTGTAGTGTACCCCCGGATAAGTGTAGTGTACCCCCGGATAAGTGTAGTGTACCCCTGGATAAGTGTAGTGTACCCCTGGATAAGTGTAGTGTACCCCCGGATAAGTGTAGTGTACCCCCAGATAAGTGTAGTGTACCCCCGGATAAGTGTAGTGTACCCCCGGATAAGTGTAATGTACCCCCCCCCCCCATTATGCATGAATAACTCACACCTCAGACGATAATAATTGTTAACTAAAATATTCAATTTCGGATCTTTGAATAATACAACAAATGAGTGGTTTTGTAACCATGGTAACAGGAATGTTACTCACGTGTCAGACGCTTTGATCTGGTCCAGAACGATGCTGAAGTGACTTGCACGTCTCTAGGTGGGGTATTAGTGATTTACAACCTGTACCCGGCTAACTTTCTTGTTTTTCAGCATGATTCAAAGCTCAAAGTAAACTTAAAAGTATTCCAATATCAATGAACTGATTCAAAATAACTTAAGCTCTGTATATTAATGTCATGTAGACACAAACAAACAACAAAGCGCGTCGTGCACACATCAGGAATGTAATTGTAGGCGGTATGTACACACATCCTGTATAGCACACATGTATAGCAAGCAGTGCTCAGTAACTGTAGTTACTTTTACAGTAATAATACAGTGAGTAATGGTAAATACAGTGAGTAATAGTACATACAGTGAGTCAGTCAACTGAGCATGCATGTCCCTAGTCTAAGCTTACTACACGATACGTTATAATATAAAATACTAAACTATGTGATGGGGGGGGGGGGAGGGGGTTAAGGGGCAGTATAGTTTTCTAGTAGTGCTCGTAGCTTGTCGACACTTTTTTAGCAAAACATTAGATTTCGACGTCAACAGAAATCATAATGACAAATGACAATACTCAAATTCGTGGAATTTAAACACCCGACTTAACATCTGCTAGTGCCATTACTAAGAATACATTACTAAGAATACATATCTGGGTTATACCATGGTACCTTTTATTTGGCAGGTAAAATTACACAAATCAGATTAACATATCCTGTTGGACAACAGCAAAATCTGCAAAATAAATCAAGTAACATTTTACACAAATGTTATCCGCGCTTACGGGAATTCGTGGGAATGTTTAAATCTGAGCTGGCAGCCAATTCTTAAGAAAACACCTTGTTTAAAATTATACTGTCAAGTAAAAAGCTCTTATAATAGACATCTGCGTTCATATCAGTCATTATGCAACGAAACGCATTGCTTCTAAGTTTAAAATGTAGGTCGTTTTAAACTACCTATACCCATCAGGAGATCGTGGCGTGATTTATTAATTTTAGTTTCTAATCTGACAAACTGAAACTAAAATTATCTAATTCTAAAGGTGTTAAAATTATTGTACAACCATTTGAGGTCCATGTTATATCAAGAAAACCTCGTACAAAATGAACTATGGTAACTATAGTAACATGCGTGCTTGGTAATCGGAAACATTTCCGACAATATTCACACAGCTATAACAGTTCACAGCTACATATTAAAATAATTGCATACACCCAAAACGTACTTTACACACAATATAAACTACACTTGCGGGTAAACAACAATAGGCTCTCAAAGAATGAGATAGGGAACAATAGGCTACAAGTATTATATAAGAGGCCCGGTATCAGATAAGGGACATCCCAACAAATACCACACTGCTCACTGCTCACTGCTCACTGCTCACTGCTCACTGCTCCCTGCTGAATTACACTGGGGCCCTGTAGAGTTTAATGGTTCCGATTACATGGGCTGATCTTAATAACGACTTTAAAACGCGGTCCCTCATTATAACCCCCCCCCCCCCCTCATTACCAACACTACAATTCTTTGTAAGCTGCATACTACGACTACAAGCTACATACTGGACTAGCTACAACAGTATATTATCTTAAAACTAAGGAAACGCTTGACAAATAGTTGGCTGACAATAGTGTTAATAACGCTGTCACACAACGCCAGAATACCGCTACTTGTCACATGACGCCTCATTGCTGGCAGCTTTGCTAAGGACTTTATCTTTATAATATGCGGTGTGAAGCACGCTTTTTCGTTATGATCGATTTTGTTTGCTTGATTAAAGAGAGAGTGGTCATTGAGAGAGAGCATGTTGTGAACATTCGTCATTTCTTTGACGAATATGACCAATTGTGTTGCAGTGTTGTGGCGAATAGGACCAATTGTGTTGCAGTGTTGTGGCGAATAGGACCAATTGTGTTGCAGTGTTGTGGCGAATAGGACCAATTGTGTTGCAGTGTTGTGGCGAATAGGACCAATTGTGTTGCAGTGTTGTGGCGAATAGGACCAATTGTGTTGCAGTGTTGTGGCGAATAGGACCAATTGTGTTGCAGTGTTGCGGCGAATAGGACCAATTGTGTTGTTGCAGTGTTATGGCGAATAGGACCAATTGTGTTGCAGTGTTGTGGCGAATAGGACCAATTGTGTTGTTGCAGTGTTATGGCGAATAGGACCAATTGTGTTGCAGTGTTGTGGCGAATAGGACCAATTGTGTTGCAGTGTTGTGGCGAATAGGACCAATTGTGTTGCAGTGTTGTGGCGAATAGGACCAATTGTGTTGCAGTGTTGTGGCGAATAGGACCAATTGTGTTGCAGTGTTGTGGCGAATAGGACCAATTGTGTTGCAGTGTTGCGGCGAATAGGACCAATTGTGTTGTTGCAGTGTTATGGCGAATAGGACCAATTGTGTTGCAGTGTTGTGGCGAATAGGACCAATTGTGTTGCAGTGTTGTGGCGAATAGGACCAACTGTGTTGCAGTGTTGTGGCGAATAGGACCAATTGTGTTGTTGCAGTGTTATGGCGAATAGGACCAATTGTGTTGCAGTGTTGTGGCGAATAGGACCAATTGTGTTGCAGTGTTGTGGCGAATAGGACCAATTGTGTTGCAGTGTTGTGGCGAATAGGACCAATTGTGTTGCAGTGTTGTGGCGAATAGGACCAATTGTGTTGCAGTGTTGTGGCGAATAGGACCAATTGTGTTGCAGTGTTGTGGCGAATAGGACCAATTGTGTTGCAGTGTTGTGGCGAATAGGACCAATTGTGTTGCAGTGTTGTGGCGAATAGGACCAATTGTGTTGCAGTGTTGTGGCGAATAGGACCAATTGTGTTGCAGTGTTGTGGCGAATAGGACCAATTGTGTTGCAGTGTTGTGGCGAATAGGACCAATTGTGTTGCAGTGTTGTGGCGAATAGGACCAATTGTGTTGCAGTGTTGTGGCGAATAGGACCAATTGTGTTGCAGTGTTGTGGCGAATAGGACCAATTGTGTTGCAGTGTTGTGGTCATTGGGACGCGTTGGTAGGTTGTGGGTTCTATAATATTATATGTATGTTTCAACGAACGTCACAAAAATGCGATGTTATTTTTCAGAAGAATTAGAATGATTTCCCTGTCAAGCTTCGTCACAAAGGTGATATGATTGGGTCCCAATCCTCTCTCGCAATAACCACACTAGCAACTAGCATTGATTGTGCGACGTACGTGCTCAGAACTGTTTACTTAGACTCTACAGTTATAAGTAGGGCTTAAGCTGCCCTAAAGTAGGCAGCTTAGCTAGGAGCTAATATTGTTCCGAAGAGTGACTGAATATCTTACTTACTATCATGCTATACCACAGTTTCTTATTTAATATGAATGATTAAACACATTCACGTGTCAACAATGAACGCAGTCACATGTACCTCTATGTTGCCTCACCTCACTATAATCGTACTCTAAAGTATCCTCACTACCCCAACTGTTGATACTCACCTCACTATTATCGTACTCTAAAGTATCCTCACTACCCCAACTGTTGATACTCACCTCACTATTATCGTACTCTAAAGTATCCTCACTACCCCAACTGTTGATACTCACCTCACTATAATCGTACTCTAAAGTATCCTCACTACCCCAACTGTTGATACTCACCTCACTATTATCGTACTCTAAAGTATCCTCACTACCCCAACTGTTGATACTCACCTCACTATTATCGTACTCTAAAGTATCCTCACTACCCCAACTGTTGATACTCACCTCACTATTATCGTACTCTAAAGTATCCTCACTACCCCAACTGTTGATACTGGATAGGTCCGGACTAGGGGCTCCAGATCGTGAGAACTTCTTCTTTACTGCGTCGGGAACTGAAGGGGTGATTTAATAAGTGTGAGGTTGTAATTCTGAGATAAATCATATTTACATGGTGTTTAAATATTTTATAGTAGGACAGGAATCAGGATTCAAGAACCAGTGCTATGATCTGATTTGCTCTTCCGTTCATTGCTCGATTTAGGACTAAAATTGTAAATTCTACAAAACAGATATACGCGCGCGCGTGGTAAAGTGCGCGGTAATTCGCAGGCCTTGACCACAAATTTATATTCGCGCGTTACAAATACGCAGTTACTGAACTCTTTGAATTTAGCAACATTTATTACACTGTCCAGTTCACTGAAGCGTCTATATCAAGTACAAGAGAATGAACCAAGGACTATAACGACCCCCCATAGTCCATACAATGGTGTAGCTATTAATTGTGACTTGGGCGATGTTTATTCATATATATCTCATAACTAATTATACTGGACACAAGATAATTTACTATTAAGGGCTCCCGGTAACCACGCAACCTAATAATTTACCTCCAATATTGTAATTTACCTGCCTGTAATAACTACAAACAAGCACAATTTGCACAGAACTGTTATTATACACTATATGTTATATACTGTGTGTAGTGCAGGAAGCAGCCCTGTCAATTACAATTACACATTACTGGCAAGAGTGGTAAAGTCAAGTGAGACTAACTTATTGTTATGTCACATACGGAGACTGGAAAATGACCAGCTCCCAATCTTTCTGAGCGTATTTTTATTCATGTGATGTAGTGGAAAATGTAATGTAAAATGTCCATATTTTAAGCGTGAATTAGTTTAGCATTTAACCTGATAAGGTGAGCTGCACAGTAACGGGAAGGGAGTAGTAGTAGGGAGTACTACTACTACTACTAGTGCTACTAGAGTGTGACATAGTGCAGCTACTATTCAAAGATACTTTTCGTATAATAATGGGTGTGGCTTGGTACAGGTCACCGGCCAATGTTAGATATTCAAATGACGTGCAGGATTATTAGCATTATGTCGAATACGACCATCTTTAGATGCAACATCACAAGTCACAACATGTTTTCTGAGAACACTTAAGTAACACTTAAGTAACACTTAGTATTAACACTTAAGTATTCGATAGCTCAATTCAAAACAAAAGTATAGCTTATATTCGAACTCTTCAATAGGAACTGCCGCCAGGATGTGAACTGGCCGGATCGGGTCGAAATAATTCAATCTCATACACAACTATTCAGTAAATGTAATAGTCTTAGTTTATTCGAGGAATAACAATTCGACCAGAGTTAGTTATATTTCCTCATTCGAAACAAGGCCGAGGGGGTATAACACAAATTTCAGTACGCTTTAAAAATAACTCACTAGGGAATTGTAATACCTGGAATACCTGAAAAACACGGTCATTGGTATTTCGCTATTCTGCAGAATAATAACACGCCCGCCCACTTTTCGTATCATTTATATGTTTTAAATATACACATACCAAACTTGCAAACGTATTATCGTTTCATACATAATATCATGTTATGCCAGTCATAAAAACTGCACATATATAAAGTTTCAGGGAAATACTACCAGTATATTGTATGCAGCAAGTATTAAGGACAATATATTAGGGTGTAGCAGTGTCGTATTACTGTATGTAACCAGTTAGTAGTGCTCCCTGAGCAACACCTGATAATATACAAGTTTGTAGCTGCTCATCATTAGTCAGTTAAATTACAGGTAGGTACTGTAACGGTACTGTAACGGTAGTGTAACGACACTGTAACGGTAGTGTAACGACACTGTAACAGTACTGTAACGACACTGTAACGGTACTGTAACAGTACTGTAACGGTACTGTAACGACACTGTAACGGTACTGTAACAGTACTGTAACGGTACTGTAACGACACTCTAGTGGATGTGTGATGTTATGTGAGATAGAGTTACCAGGGAGATGCTGAATCAGGAACAGTGATATTATTACAGTAAACTTAACAGTGAGATTATTACAGTAAACTGATAGTAAGTGGTAGTAAGGTTATATTGATTACACGATAATAGTGTAATGGTGGAGACACTACATAATGTATATATAGTAGTATACACTACATAATGCGGACAAGTATTCGTGTGCTAGCCTATTATGCAATGAAGAGTGTTGTTCAAATACCATCTCCTGGACCACCACTTAAGGGGGCATATACCAAAACAGTGGTTTGTGCCGTCCAACCCAAATGACCTCATAGGCAGTTCAGTGACCATCTAGCGCACCGTTTCCACATTTAAAAAAATTATTTGAGGACTACCCATTTGTGAATCGAGCATTTCCTGGTTAGTTGGAATTTCGGAAAAAACACCATTTATTTCGTGGAGAGGCTTATAAGATAATCATTTATTGCGGTATCGAGTTGAAATTTTGCTCGTGTGTCTATTCAATTCTATTTCAAGGTGTGTGTAAATCTTGTAATTTCGTTTCTAAAAACATCAAAATTAGGCATCAAATTTAGGCACATTTTTCGTTTTTCATATTTACTGATTTTTCTAAAATTTTGATAGGAATGTGCTAGTGACTTTTTGAAGGCGCGAAATAACTGAATAGTGTGATATCAAACAAACATCAAAAATCTGCCTGAAGTTAGGCAGTTTTTGTCGATTTTTTGGCTATTACTGAACAAAATGAGTGAAATATCTGTGACAGTAGAGCTTTTTGATGGTCATGTGATGAAGCAACTAGAACAAACCGAGTGAAATATCTGACTGACAGTAGAGCGTTTTGACTGTTCCATGTGATGAAGCATGTGAAACAAACCTGAGTAAAACATCTGACTGACAGTAGAGCGTTTTGACTGGTCATGTGATGAAGCATGTGAACAAACCTGAGTGAAATATCTGACTGACAGTAGAGCGTTTTTGACTGGTCATGTGATGAAGCATGTGAACAAACCTGAGTGAAATATCTGACTGACAGTAGAGCGTTTTGACTGGTCATGTGATGAAGCATGTGAACAAACCTGAGTGAAATATCTGACTGACAGTGGAGCGTTTTGACTGGTCATGTGATGAAGCATGTGAACAAACCTGAGTGAAATATCTGACTGACAGTGGAGCGTTTTGACTGGTCATGTGATGAAGCATGTGAACAAACCTGAGTGAAATATCTGACTGACAGTGGAGCGTTTTGACTGGTCATGTGATGAAGCATGTGAACAAACCTGAGTGAAATATCTGACTGACAGTGGAGCGTTTTGACTGGTCATGTGATGAAGCATGTGAACAAACCTGAGTGAAATATCTGACTGACAGTAGAGCGTTTTGACTGGTCATGTGATGAAGCATGTGAACAAACCTGAGTGAAATATCTGACTGACAGTAGAGCGTTTTGACTGGTCATGTGATGAAGCATGTGAACAAACCTGAGTGAAATATCTGACTGACAGTGGAGCGTTTTGACTGGTCATGTGATGAAGCATGTGAACAAACCTGAGTGAAATATCTGACTGACAGTGGAGCGTTTTGACTGGTCATGTGATGAAGCATGTGAACAAACCTGAGTGAAATATCTGACTGACAGTGGAGCGTTTTGACTGGTCATGTGATGAAGCATGTGAACAAACCTGAGTGAAATATCTGACTGACAGTAGAGCGTTTTGACTGGTCATGTGATGAAGCATGTGAACAAACCTGAGTGAAATATCTGACTGACAGTAGAGCGTTTTGACTGGTCATGTGATGAAGCATGTGAACAAACCTGAGTGAAATATCTGACTGACAGTGGAGCGTTTTGACTGGTCATGTGATGAAGCATGTGAACAAACCTGAGTGAAATATCTGACTGACAGTAGGAGCGTTTTGACTGGTCATGTGATGAAGCATGTGAACAAACCTGAGTGAAATATCTGACTGACAGTGGAGCGTTTTGACTGGTCATGTGATGAAGCATGTGAACAAACCTGAGTGAAATATCTGACTGACAGTAGAGCGTTTTGACTGGTCATGTGATGAAGCATGTGAACAAACCTGAGTGAAATATCTGACTGACAGTGGAGCGTTTTGACTGGTCATGTGATGAAGCATGTGAACAAACCTGAGTGAAATATCTGACTGACAGTGGAGCGTTTTGACTGGTCATGTGATGAAGCATGTGAACAAACCTGAGTGAAATATCTGACTGACAGTAGAGCGTTTTGACTGGTCATGTGATGAAGCATGTGAACAAACCTGAGTGAAATATCTGACTGACAGTAGAGCGTTTTGACTGGTCATGTGATGAAGCATGTGAACAAACCTGAGTGAAATATCTGACTGACAGTAGAGCGTTTTGACTGGTCATGTGATGAAGCATGTGAACAAACCTGAGTGAAATATCTGACTGACAGTGGAGCGTTTTGACTGGTCATGTGATGAAGCATGTGAACAAACCTGAGTGAAATATCTGACTGACAGTGGAGCGTTTTGACTGGTCATGTGATGAAGCATGTGAACAAACCTGAGTGAAATATCTGACTGACAGTGGAGCGTTTTGACTGGTCATGTGATGAAGCATGTGAACAAACCTGAGTGAAATATCTGACTGACAGTGGAGCGTTTTGACTGGTCATGTGATGAAGCATGTGAACAAACCTGAGTGAAATATCTGACTGACAGTAGAGCGTTTTGACTGGTCATGTGATGAAGCATGTGAACAAACCTGAGTGAAATATCTGACTGACAGTAGAGCGTTTTGACTGGTCATGTGATGAAGCATGTGAACAAACCTGAGTGAAATATCTGACTGACAGTAGAGCGTTTTGACTGGTCATGTGATGAAGCATGTGAACAAACCTGAGTGAAATATCTGACTGACAGTGGAGCGTTTTGACTGGTCATGTGATGAAGCATGTGAACAAACCTGAGTGAAATATCTGACTGACAGTAGAGCGTTTTGACTGGTCATGTGATGAAGCATGTGAACAAACCTGAGTGAAATATCTGACTGACAGTGGAGCGTTTTGACTGGTCATGTGATGAAGCATGTGAACAAACCTGAGTGA